GATTGATGATTATCTTATTACGCTGGAAGTTAAATACTCATGAAGCCGAAAGCCGACATTCCGAACCAGCTTAGTAATGGTTTATAGAGAATGATGTCAAACTGAAGCGATTCTCCTAGATTAAGCTTTGTTCTTTTTTGAGCTGATGAAAAACTTGTCAATTAACGATGCTCCTCTAGTAAGTTTGACATCAGACGAAGACAGACGGACGAGTTTTATTTCTAGTGCTTTCAGTTCGGCTGTTGCTTCTAATCGTTAGACTGACTCACACCCCCAAAACTCTAGAAGAGAGTAGAACACCTGTCCAGATTATTGTTAGTCGTAAAAAATATCCCACCGTAAAGACATAAGTTTCCACCCGTAAATGGTTTATATCTGTAAACAGTGATGATGAAATAACTCGAAGTGTACGGTGTTCAGGGTGCGAAAGTCTCTAAAATGTCGTGATGGACAGGGAGAATGAGTGAATTGGTTCGAAAGCTCAGTACGAAATAGTAATATGAGGTGCACGATTTTCACATATATAATGTAGCTTTTTGCACGATCGAACACAGAAAACTAGTAAACGACAATAGGAGAAATTTGTTATGGTCCACATTGTCATACTAATTACTTTGTACCAAGTCATCTGTGCATGTGTACAAACGCCGATTGTTGTTAAGTAGTACGAGATTTAGACGCGCCTTTTCCGAGCTCCAAACGAAAACAGAAAACTGAGATAAAATATAGTGTTCACAAATATTATGTTTAAAATAACCTCAGTGAGTAAAATAAAAATAAATCCGATGTTTCGGACACCATATTTGTCTGCACCTCTTCGTATTAATAATTACGATCGAAACAATTTCATAGACAGTAAATGATTTATAGTTCAGTTATCACGACCACGAGCAATAGAGATATTGTATAGTATTGTATTTGCTAGAAGTTGTAGCGTGGTGTCGAATCGCGCTTGATTATGAACACCGCTACAAGAGGACTATGTGCCAATTAACCAATAAGATTCCTGTAGGACAATATCAGAAGACAGATGATGGCTGTAGTCGAGATATATTTTCTGGCGATTTCGTGGTATCAAAGGAATAAAGAGATCGTGTCAAAGGAGTACAAGCGTGGTTACTAAGCCTAACCGAATTCGTACAAGTTCAAAGTCAACGGGAGAGTAGTAGCTGTCTTTAGCACAGTTAAACAGACGAGCACAGTAAAACAATCACTGGTACAATCGGTTATAATAATATATGTTTTCATCGAACCAATCGCGTTGTGTTGACTAAAGTAGGTCACACAAAGTTAACAGTGCATGTCATGTTGTGCGTGTAAGTCAACGGAAGTGTGTTCAAGGTCATACACTTAAACAACACATACAATCATTTTGTGGTAAATGTACAGACTGTAAAAAAATTAGCAGAATAATGCAATTAATATCAAAAACTATTTACAAGATGAGTTTGTCTATCTTCACAATAGTGCACTCAGTGTCGAAGAGTTAGGTCAAATATACACTAAATGCATATACAGGGATACTTAGACGTCGACTTTTGTAAGTGGGATAAAACGAGTCAGTAAGATGTGGATCACGTGAAAATTTTACAGTATGGAGGTAAGTGAACGTATTTGCATGTAAAAATTTATGTTATTATTAATTGATATTCGGTGAATGATTGTTATTCACATGTTTGTTGAAAGTAACATTAAAAATAAAAGTACTATCACCCCAATCAGTGAACGATTTCAAGGAGAATTCGGGTCCTTACCGGGAGAAGCAGTCTCAAGGATAAACTCAGTCCAGACTACCTACAACCCTTATAACTGAAGATTGTGATCACGTTTAAAAGACCAACGGTCATTCTAAAAAAGCGTTGCTTACTAGGAATATAAAAAAATTCACAAGATTGCCTTTGTTTTACGACATTCATCATTTGTTTGTGTTGTTTGTCTGCACAAGAAAGCGAGGTCGAGCTCTCTGAAGGTCAAGGCTGCAGCGGCGTACGTTTCGGACTACGCTCCGCTTTTGCTGGGAAGGCTCCCGATATTTCTTGGTAATTTTCAAAGAATAGGCATTATTATAACTATTCAACCTTCAAAAGCCAATTCGACTAGTAAAAATATCGTGAATTTTGTTTTTTTGCTGTTGTTCCAGATGATCATGACGTATATATATTACATATATATGTAATGCGCATATGCGCTTGATATAATAATGCGTTGATATATCCACGAATATTAACGTCTAGTATATTGTTTGCACTACATACATAGCGGGGATAATTTGAATACGACTAACACCTTAATTTTTTACCGTTGGGTATTCTGAAGTCAAATCTTCATGGGCGAGACTAATTTATGTTCGAGCCAATCTGAGACTTTGAAGGAATCTCAAGGTCACGGCGCTAATTTCAGTACGTGGTTTTTGAGCGGCTACAACAGATGGGACTACTAAGTAGCTTTACTTGTAACGACGGTAATCAAATGACAGCAGTAAATATACTTCACATGAACTTGGAATTTACGATAGGTCAACGCGAAAGGGACACCTTCAAAGGGTCAGAAAGCGATAATCAACCAAAATAATATCAATTATACAGGAATACGTTTAGCCGGGCACTACAATTTATACCGATTATCGGAGGACGTACAGATGCCTACATAGACTTGGATATGTGCATCATGTCATTGTGCTCGAGCGCCATTTTGTGGGCCATAAAACAGAAGTTCACACTAATATTGAAGCTGTGGTGCAGGATAAATGAGTTCTTAAGACCCAATCACCGTTCAGGGGGTCGACTAATATGGAGCCATATGGATGAGTTCCTATACCGTACTATGATTTCAGAACAGCTGAACCTCTTCCAAACCTCAATTTTTTGAATCATTTAAAAGAAGAATATCCACATAAATTCTTTAGTTTTTTATAATGTATTTTCACTTTTTACTGTCTACTGATTGGCTACTATTTCTCAGGTTCACTTAAGATTCTTTCAAAGTTCGTCCATAAATAATTCTCACCGAAAAGATATAGGAGACTCCACTCTAGAAGTATTTCGAGTTGAAAAAGATGTGTGTTGGTACTCTACGATTTGAAGTCTTACGCTAACTGTGACAAAAATGCCTTTCAAGCCAAACTTGCACTGGTAACATTAAAGCGAATTTTCGGCCAGTTTGACAGATTTTTCCACATAATCTTCAACAGCTTTATTCATTCCCATTTAGAGTACATAGTATTTCCTACCTCACTCCAAAAGAATAAGAACTCTCTGGAGCGTATCCAAAGGCGAGCCACGAAATCAGTTCGGAAACCCAAATCCAAGCCTTATGAGGAGCGCCTTTGATCACTAAGCCTTTACCCATTAGAGGATAGGCGTCTTAGAGGTGACCTGATTACTTACAGTATCCTTAACAGTTCCGGACATCCCTTTAAACACCTACTTAAGTTTAGCTTCAACACAAACCTAAGGGGTAACACCCAGAAACTGGAGACACCTCAACAGAACGGACTGTAGAAAAAATTACTTCTTAAGAGTAGTCAAATGCTGGGATTCTCTGCCGACTGAGCTTGTCCAAGCGACTACCCAGAAGTCCTTTAGGAAGGAACTTGATTTATTCGTAAGGACTAAGGATGATATCTTACTCTGACTTACCGATTTCGTTTTCCTATATTGTCGTCAATATTCCTAGGTTCTTGCCTGGAGGTATTGGTGGTCCACTGTTACTAGACACGGAAGCCCGTTAAACGAAAGCCTCTGTTTCGTCCACAATCATTTGAAGATATTTTACCATTTGGTGTGCGTTATGCGGTTGTTTTATGGTATTCCAAATATCTTTTTATCAACTGACTACCGTCAAATCTTTAGTTAAATTGATTCAGGCATGGCCTGTTACTCTTTTAAACTTCATGGTTATATACTTATCATGACAACTTGGGATGTATTCTTGTTGTACGTCTCACTTATGTATCTGTGATATTTTTATTAAAGGTTAAAGGTTGGGGATTCGCACTTAAAATGGAGCGTATGACAAATAGTATTTGTGCTTATTACAGACCCACTTAAGAAAGTGTGAAAGTCTAGAAAGCCTATATTCTCTGACTTTTAGCTGTTGCATAGAAGCGTGGAGTGATATATAAGTTCTCACTGACATGACTCCTTAATTATTAATTGAACAAGTAATGCATCTCTATTTTCCATGTACTTACTTGTACCTTGGTGTGCTTCATGCATCATTATACACCTTGAGGTATTTATCATCAATTACCAAATACCAAACAAATCTGCTAATTTTTACAGATATATTGCGCAGGTTTAATCTATCCCCTTCGTTGTTTGTCACTATTCATATTTCCACATTGTTGGTATCTAAGAAAACAAAAAGCTAGGACAATCACTACCAGAATTGTATCGTGTAAAACTCTATTATCAACTGTTTTTCTCCCAAACAACTTGAAGTTAACCCTTACTGTTTGAATACAACTAAAATGTCGTTTATTCACTGAATCAAATGGATTATGGTCTCAATATTGCTCAGCTTATATAATCTCGTATCAGGAACATTGTTAAAGCCTTTATGATTCGGTGAAGGTGAAATCTGTAGATTACTTTTGATCTCTCAACATTAATTGTCCTTGTTGCGCCACCAATTCGATTGTGGTACACGAACAACTCACCGTGATGTCAAGCTGCTTCAGTCTAAAAATATTTTGCCATTGTTTTGCGTAACGTGTCGAGAAAGCGACTAGTTATGTGAAAGTCATTTTAAAGCCTAAAAAATTCAACAAGCAACGGTATGTCTCATTCGAAATATTATCAACCTCAAATTACAGGCTAGTATGTTAAGCTAGGTTTTTCACATCTCTCAGTTTTGGTCAATATTATTTGCACCAACTTGACTTTGTAATCAAATTTGTTTTTATCGTTTCAGCTTCTCAATTTGTTTGCTCTCTAACTGTACAAGCTAAAATGGCATGGATTATGTTTTTGTATCGAACAACTAATTCTACTTAGATAATGGTTAGATTTCTAATTGTATGCATTTTGAAGGGATTAGTGAACTGTTTTTTTCTTCACTAACATACATGTTTAATAATTTGATGGAGATCAACTGAGTAACTAGGTGCACAGTTATTGTTATTGTACTCGTTTTTGAGCTGAGCTGATTGTCAGAGCTATTGATTGTGACCCACTCATACTTAACAAATTAGACGAGCCTTGTGCTTCTACGTGACTTAATACTTATTAGTTGTGGAGTTGTGTGTGCAAGTTATAGCTCAGCGATTTGTTGAAGCATCGGATGTATTTTAAGTATTGTTTTCCGGAGTATTCCAAAACTAATTTATAATATAAAGTAACTGGTTTCTTATTCTTGAATTTTTGTTTATTCAAAACTCACTATGCAATTGGTATAATCCTTCCAAAGACTGATAATGTTAATGAAATCTGTAATAATGATCCTCCAGGCTAACAGAAATACTTTACTCTAACATTCGAAAATGTGGGTCCTAATTAATTTTATGTTTTTTGTTTCTAGGTTGATATTTATAACGGTTTCATGGATCAGTGCAAATCAAATGAAGTTGTAGATTTACATGAATTCCCCTTCTTTCATTCCTATGTCGCTGACGTGGAATCAGGTGATATCGCCTCAAATTCTGAATCCCATATAAGTTTCAATATGTTCGGGACGTGTTCTTTAAGAAATGTTCGGCGTATTATACGCCAGAGTCGGCGTCTGAAACCATTAAGAGTTCACTTACTAAAATCTGTATTGGATTTATGCAAAGCTGCTGATTTGGAGCCATTTGTTTATGGTGGCACAGCTTTATCAGTATTCCGTGAAGACGGAAAATTCATATCACATGATACAGATATTGACTTGGGTATTTTAGAATTTGATACTGAAGGAAAAGGTTCATACACTAAACTGATTCATTGCTGTTTAAAAAATGGTATAAGTGTTTTCGGTGTGGAAAATATGGATGAGTCTTTACTAATCAGTGTCAATTCTGATTTATATATCGACTTTTCAGCCAGTATCAGCAGACGTTTTTGGCTTAAAGCGCAGCAAATCAATATGCCTGAAACCATTGAAGAGATACCGTACAATGGATGTGATTGCAAACGCATTAAGTTCTTTTTCAGCACTAATGGCTTACTTAAAGCCTGTGAATTATATCATTTAAACTCAAAAATTGTAAGTCATATACTATCGGATCCATCATTAGTACATGTTGATTTATTTACTCTCTCTACCTATCCAGATTCCTCTGATGACTTAAAGCATTTGCTTGTAAATTGGAATTTGCCCGGTATATATGACTGCGAAAAGAAATTATTCCCATATAAATCTTTCTTTCCTTTAGTACCATGTACATTTGAAGGTGTAAACTTGCTAGCTCCTCATGACTTAAAAACTTATTTAACTACCGAATACGGTTACTTGGGACGAGATGCTGTGTATGATCGTAGAAAGCAGTTGTATGTAAAAATTCCTTCAAAGTTTTCTGCTCAATTACCATCGTACTTCACATGATGTCTAGTTTACGAGTATATCTTTGGATTACACTTTCTGACGTAATAAACATTTTAATGTTGTGTTACTCCAGAACCTTGGTATTGTCTTTTCTTGATACCATCTCATTTTTGTAACACTTTTTGTACATAGATTTTATTTCACGAATAAAAATATACTGTTTTGAATAAATAAACCCATTTTTATGTGAGCTTAGAAGGACTTATTAATACCCAAAAGGTTGAAGATGGTGTTTATTATTTCGTATATATCTGTCTACGAGATATTTGACGGAACATATATCATTGGTTGGTATAAGTGGTTCTCACATTTGAATATATGCCGACAGGATGTTGTTTCTATCCAGAAATAATACTTAGGTTGTAAATTTCCCTGCTATACTCTCTAGTCGTCTAACTTTACAAGAAATAAAAATAGTTAGGCTTATCAGTTATATTTCCTTTAGCTTGGTAGTTATATTCCTCATTAGAGAGTGCTGAATTGGATGTCCGCATCACCAGTCGTATTAAAAACTGAGTACAAGGCACCTTTTCTTCATACACAGAAACCAGACATTTCCAGTTTAGACCATACCATGATTAAAAATAGGGACAAAATGCCCTTGTTGTTTTCAGTGAGTAGTCCCTTGAACATATTATTTGCTGAAAACCTTTTATCCTGAATATTGTAGGTTTAAATTTTTCATAATCGTAGTCCAAAAGTAGTGATATTATGTTCACATGAAATCTGAAATTTTTTAACTCTATGTCTTAATTATTTTCGTATGAAAACGACTTTGGAATTTAAAAGTTAAAATTGTTATTTGGTATAGACTGCTTTACATTCACCTATCAGAAAAATTGTGCTGCTTAACTGTTTATTCCGTACGAAATTATGGCTGTGAAATATGGTGTTTTAATGTAGAGGACCTGGTTTGAGGTTTGGTTAAGATGCTATTAGCTTCATTTAAACTGCTGATATTTGAAACATATGCATATATGTATCAGAAAAGTGTGTATTATTATTATTTTATTATTGTTCCAAACACTTTTCCGCTTTGTTTCAGTACTTAATTAAGTAAGATTATATCTGACAACGAGTAATAACTTAACTTATGTAATATCTTGTAGGTGTAAAATGAAGAAAATATTTACCTCGGGGCGTCTGACACGTCTTCGCGATTTATTGAAAGATAGAAATTTACAAGGATATATACTGCCAACAGAAGACGAACATTTTAATGAGTATGTGGGCAATGCAGATAGGCGTTGTGCATTCATTTCTGGATTTACAGGTTCTTCCTGCTCTATTGTTATCACTTTAGATCAAGCTGCTTTATGGACTGATGGTCGATATCAGCTACAGGTGGTTTTCTCCTTAAAAAATAAATATTTTAATCACAATTTCGATGCAGTACAACTATGTCGACATTTTTGTAGTTATTTACTAATTAACTTCAAGTAAGACCAGAATTCTTTAGGTGGTGATTTATCTGAAATATGGTAATCTCCCTTGATTTCCTCATATTTCAGTCCTAATTTTTAATAAAATCACTTCATAAGGTAGGATTATGACTTATGCAAGAAATTGAGAGCCTAAAGCTTTTGTTGTTGTCCATTGTTATCCAATTACTTCACTTAGGTACTTTAAGATATCGTTATTTTTAGCATTTAGTAGGCTTCAGTCGTATGTACGTCCTGAGTTTCAGAAATTTGTAGTGAATAATCAACTGGATATAATTTGTTTCTATGTCTCATTGTGTCGTATATATGCAGTTTGCTAATACGCATACAGTTTCACAGTTAAAATTTCCAAATTAACAGAAGTTGTTTGAATAGTGAACTCTGCTCCGACACTTGATGCTTTTAAAAACATTTACATACGAGTGATCCATTCAAAAATATGTTTCATTATCCATGCAAATGTTTCTGGGGATCAATTTACATGGCATCAAATTATTTTAGGCGATAGCTACAATCAACAAATTTTGTTGGACTAGTATAAATACTTGTCAATGTACAGACAACATGAACTATCAATTAGAAAGTATTGCTTTTGCCTCCGGAGTTCTTATCTTATTTGTGTTTCATTCATAGCACAAAGTTTCAAAACTGTTAGGTATGTGTCACTAGTCCACAGTTATTTAGCCGAGCGAATAACTTTTTTGTCTGAAACTGTATATCTAATACTTCAGAAGGTTAACAACCCAATCAACGCTGGAATCCTTAAATATTTTTTGTCAGTCGATCTGTCTGTGAAAAGCAACATAGAACACATATCGACACGATTTACTATACCTACTCCCCATAGATTGATGAAATTACCAAGACTCATACCAAAGTAGTGGTGGAATTTGCTGGGAAGAAGCTTAGGCATAGACAGTATAATCCCATTAGGAGGATATAATCCGTGAAATAAAGTATAAAGAGTAATTTTGATCTAGGAGTAAGCAAAGTGCGTCTGAGCTGTTGTAACCGATTGTCAGCTATGTTACCTGACATCTTCAGTAATTGGTTACGATAACCGCGCGGATTACAGTCAGGTAGTTTGCATCTACCAGCTAGGCTCACACCAAAATCCAATGACCAATCAAACGGAGGTCTCGTTTTGGTTCAATCGCATGTGGCTTTTCAACTTACTACACCAGTTAACATCGCTTCATAGTAGTTGGTTTCGAGTACAAGTAATCCATTTCCCCACCGTTTCAGTTAATACAGATACTGTGACTCACAAACCGCTTTATCGTCATTACTCCGTACACTGCAACTAACCTTAGCACTGCTCACTAGCTACTCTTAACAAACGACCGATGACACTACAACACCTTTGATCAACCCAGTCGACGCTACTACCGTAACGTGGTGGTCGGGCTCGCCTATCGTGATGAATCGATCAGGCTATACTGGCTGTAACAATCGTTCCTCAAGGCCCTACCGTGCCGGGCAGGTCTGTTGAAGAGCGGTAAGACTAGAAGAAGCGAACCCAAGGTCCAAGAGCGAAGTCGTACTGCTGGCTGTACAGAAGTGTGACTAGTAAAGCGTTTCGTTCAGACAACCAGTATAACAGCAATGCTGCCTTCTCAAAAGGGAAGGATGTGGTTACAAATCTTCGGCCCTAAAAATACACATATGGCCTTGTCTCACGAATTTCCGTCTCTCAACAAGTACGGAGCTAACACAAAAATTACCCACATAAAGATCGTATGTGATCGGTCGCAAGCAGTTGTCCCTTGAGCACTGCGGTCACGCTCTCAGTTCACTAACATCATCTCTAACCCAGATTCCTTTTCAGGTACTACTACAAGAACTCTTCCTAAATGTGGGCAACCGGAAAGTGAAAACCGCCCCCATACTTCTAACTGCACTCAAAACCACCGTCTAACTGACCTATGATCAAATACTAGTAGTCGACCAATGTTCTCTGCCTTCAGAATCCACGATACACAGCCATAGATTGGGACAGAGTAGAATGTTATTCAGTATACTCATCTTCTTTTGACAGAGATAGATATCTCACCTATGCCACCGGTGATGTAAATTGATAGAATTAAGTTGGTCTCTTGAGTTGTTGCAGAGATTTTATCAGTGATTAACTCACTAAATCTGATGAGATTTTCTGGATAAATGAACTAGCGTTGCATATTCCCGTTAAAATGATCCCATTTTGGCAAATGTATTGCAGGTAAAGTCATTTATAAGCTCACATCCATACTTGTTTTGATCAAATTTTTAATAAATGATAACTGAATATACTAAAAATTTATTATCAATCGGAACTTGCGGTCACATGGTCGAAAAGTTTATAGATTGCTGCAACTTGAACCGATGCATATATGTGCCTGGTCCTAGGTTGTAGCTGATTGACGAACTGAGATTGCTGTATTTTCGTCCGGATGGTCTCTAAATCTAGTCAGACTTACTTTGTTCATGGATCTTTAGTTATCGATTAACCTGATAATGTTAATATCTTTACAAATAAAGTAATTAATACAATTAGTACACTATTTTTCAGGATGTAGTCATAACGTAACATCGGGTGTTTATGTTGGCTCAAGAACACTAATAATTGTCAGTTCTTCAATAGCGATTTGATTTTCTTCACTATGAGTGTAACAACATATTATAGAACTGTTTTCTTAGTATGGTATCGGCTCAGTAGTTGGAGAATTTAACCTTCATTAACAGCGTTGAAAGCTCGGACTGTTCTACCCACTGCGTTTTTGAGCAGCCGGGTAACATAATGAGTCCTCGTACAAATGTACATGAATTTTTAATTATTAAATTAATGCTCAAGTTGTAAACGTAACTCAGCGCTCATGAGGTAAATTACTGAAGTATATATCCAGTTCAAAAGTTACTATTACTTGTAAGAGATAATATTGTCTAACGTTATCCAATAAATCTCAACTGCTTTTTCATTTATATAGGCTTCCAATGAGCTAGATGAAAATTGGTCATTATTTAGAAATGACTTAACTGAAGCGCCTACAAGAGCCCGATGGATTCTTTCGTCAACTTCTCCTGGTTCTTCTATTGGATATGATGGTAGACAAATACCTTATACGGGAATTGAAACATTAAAAAAAGAATTGGCTGGTGTTGAAGCTGAATTAGGTATTCTACCAAATTGTAACGGAATTCAAAATCCGCTCAGTCGACAATTAGTAAATATACCAAACACAAATTTGATTGATCTGGTTTGGGAGTCTATGTCTGAATTACAAATTGAAAATGTTTCTCGTCCTATTCGTTCATCAAATCCACTGTTATTTATTCCAGTCTCATTTTCTGGTTCAAGTTGGCAGCAAAAAATTGATCGTGTTAGAAATATGATGAAAGCAAAAGGGGCTGAATTACTGGTTTTATATGCATTGGATGAGATTGCATGGTTATTCAATTTACGTGGAAGTGATATACTTTACAATCCAGTGTTTTATGCATATGCTATTGTGAGCTTGAATAAAATAGACTTATTTTTGAATCCGAAAACTGTTGATCAAACACCTAGACTTCATGATTACTTGAGTGATAAACAGAATTCAGTAAGTTACGATTATCATTAATTATTAAGTAACAGCCAAATTAAGAGCTTAAAAAATGCTTTTATTTGCAGACACGTATCATCATAAATCAATATCAATAAGAGCATCGGTATTACAATGCGACCCACGCATCAAGTACAGGTTTGTGTACTTGGCTTTCAGTTACACTTTAGATGTATACCAATTGGCTGGTGAGGAAAAAATAAGTGGAGTGGTCGGGGGTTGAACTTATGATATATCAATTGATATCTCTATTTATCTCCTAAATAGCTTCAAAAAAATGAACTGAACAAACTTATTTTGAAACTGAATTAATTGTATGGATTGTAGAATTTATGACTTGTCTACTACATAGTAATAACAATATACCGTATCATACTGCTTGTTACTGAAACACTTCTCAGTTGTAATTTAAGAAAATTTTGAAACGGCAACCCAATGTTTTTTATGGCACAACACCTGAAATCTCAATAAAACCAGTATTTCATATATATATATATATATATATATATATATATATATATATATATATATATATATATTAGTTGTTTGAATCTTCTGGTTGTTTATTAGGACTGTGATTGATCAGTCTCTTTTGGGAATAAGTTCATCCTGTGCGGATTACCTCGATTTTGCCAATACGTTACAAACATTTTGAGCAGAGATGGAAAGTGGCTAGTGGGTACATCCAGCTGACGAATCTCAAATAGGACGAAATTCCCCTTCTTAGATTTCCTTCCTATCCATTATCCATTTCTGCTCATAATCAGTACTTATTTTTAATTGTTTATTTTGGCAAACGTAAAATATGCTAAAACGGCACTAAAAGTGTGCGCGACAGAAATAGAGTGATAACTGTGTGAAGAAATAAAGAAGAGAAGAGGATTACTATTGTTAGAAAAAATATTTGAAACAAAATACCATGTCTTAGAAGATATAGTTAAAAATAAAACTAAAAAGTGTTTCCTTTCACCAAGTCGGTAGAAGGAAACTTGAGCCGACAGCTAAGTTCCTATTCGTCTATTCGTCATACACAAGCGCCTCTTTATGCCCTGCTTTAAATCCAAAGGTCAGCAACCTGTCCCTACTCTATCTATATTTAAGCTGACATGGTTTTGATATAGAAATACTAGACCACATCACATCATACAGTGAAAAGTAACAATCATACATGAACAAGCCAAAAGTGGCTGTGGATTAGGGAGACTGTAAATGATGGACTGTCAACAAATTAAGCTTGGTAAATCGTACAAAATTAGTTAATTAGTCAACTGAAAGGTTATGACCAAACAAATACATAGACATTAGTAATCTAGTTATTCACTAACAATACAACAAAATTATAAGTAATAATATTTTGAAAAAACCAGTTCCAACTCCTACAATACTTGTTCCGTCACAGCAAACTTCTTTAATTTTTTCTGTATTATACTATACTACTCTAGTTATTAGTTTTTATCAATTTCGTCTTTGTATTTACTACTTCACGGAAAATGTCTTCTGTTGTTGAAATGATTTGCTCTTTAAGGAACAAAGTATTCCTACCTCTTCTTGATTATGTATATATTTATCATTAGGTAAAAATTCATCTATATTCTGAATTTTTCAACTATTTGGAAACGATTGTTCATAGTTCACCGGAAAAACATTTACCATTACAACCGTCATGTGTATGGCTCGATTTATCTGCTAGTTATGCAATTGTTACAAAAATTCCAGAAAATCAACGTCTATTTCATATCTCACCTGTTGCTGAAATGAAATCAATCAAATCTTTATCAGAATTAAATGGAATTCGTGAAGTTCACATTACTGATTCATTAGTATTATGCGATTTTTTGGCTTGGTTAGAAGATGAAGCTAATCAAATTAATAACAGCGATTGTTGTAAGCACTCGCATGATTACAAACCAATAAAACCAAATACAGAAAATGGTGCAGGACTGCCGGTAATAACACCACCACGTGTTTTAACTGAAGCATCAACTGCTCAATATTTAGATAAATTACGGTCACAAGCTAAAGATTTTTTCAGCTTAAGCTTCAGCACGATATCTTGCGCTGGTAGGTTACGATATATATAGTTTACTTGAGAATTGTTGATAAATTGCTTGTTATCTGAACGAAATTTGTTTTGTGTTGCGTTACCATGGTTATTATGTACTCAATGTTATCGTCTTATTTCTTCTCCTTATTTTTTCAATGATGTATTTTTTCTAGATGCAAATGGAGCTATTATACACTATCATCCTGTTGAAGGTCAAGATGCACCTATTACTAATACAAGTATATACCTTGTTGATTCTGGTGGTCAATACTTGACGGGCACAACGGATGTCACGCGTACAATCCATTTAGGTGAACCAACATTAGAACAGAAGAATTGTTATACATCTGTCTTAAAAGCCCATATTGCACTTGCTATGCAAGTAAGTAACAATCTTTAAATATTTTTTTAAAATTAAAAATTGAGTCATATTTCTTAGGGTTTTCAAGCTAAGCGTTTGCAGTGAAAATGCTCATTAAATTCTTGTAATACTATTCATTAAATTATCAAGTGGTAACTTACTGAAGTTCATCAGATTAAATTTAACTTTCCAGAATGATCCACATAATCAGTCGTTTATTCCATTTCAGACTCAACTGACCAGTAAACTGAGAATAATCCAAGATCAATTGGATCAACATATGTATAAAAAACTTTGAAAATAAGTGTTACATTTATTTATAATAATATTAAAAAGGGTATATTGCTATGTAGAGCTGCAGGTTCGCCATTGATATTGTGGATGTTTCGGTATTACTTTGGCAAGTTTTGCTGACTGTTCATACACAAAATTTGTTTGCTGGTTAACCGATTTCATTCATACTGGTGGTGGCTTTTCAGTGTTCTCTAGGCCCATTGTCATTGGAACAGTGTAAAGCATGTCGCTATTTCTAACATTAATGACTTGGATTGTCGTGTAAGCGAAATAGGTCAACTTTGACCTGTCCGTACTGTGCATAATTAATTCACGCGATCATTGATCAGAATAACTATACATGTGACGTCAATGTGTATATGAATGATGCGAATAGTCCACCAGGGTTATTGGTACCTGTGTGGTTGCGCCACAGGATTGGGCTGTACTATTCAGATTGTAGCGTTAAAGCCTATATGGTGTCTGGCTTTCCTGTTAAATGAGATTCAGCTGTACTTTTTGGATTGTCACATGAAAGTCTGAATGGTGTCTGGTTCTCCTGAAAACCAATGTAAAATTACCCAGGTCCACAAGGTTATATTATATATAACTAATAATAATAAATTTATTCTATTATATATCCATAAGTTCAATAATTATAAATTACATAATTTTATCAAACTAAGGGTTAACTGAATAAAAAATCACTGAAAAATTGATATGCAAATTTTAGATTTGATTTTCGTTCTGTTTGGTTTCTATTTGGAAATTTAGGATTTATTTATTTATTTGAACACGTAAACATTGATACAGGGGGATACCAAATACATATGCGCCACACAATAACAATGAAGCCAGTAGTAGTTATCATTGATTTGTGTGAGAGCTGTGATACTGCCCGGTGCCCAAACCGAAGCAGGTGATTTTCTTAAAGGGACCCACCCGGAGCTTTTGATCCGAAAATCTAATTTACAAGGCAGTGGAACAATGTTAGGAAATATAGTCCCATGGTAGACAGTGACCAAAAACAGGTTCATATGCCGTTTGTTGCCTCAGGATCCTGGAGCCCATATGCACCGTTTGTTTGAAGTCAGGGTTTCCCAACCCCCCTAGATGGATTCTCCGTGTCCATCAACCCGCTTAAAGCGCCGGACACTCCCTTTTCTTTCTCCAAATTTCGTAAACAACACCCCCGCTTCAAGAAAGAATTCCCTGGCAGTAGCTGTTGAGGAATTAATTGATGCGAAATAGGCCAAACTAGAGTCTGCATCCTGATTGGTGACTTGGTGTATGGTTTTGGTCCATAGGATTTCAATACATAACAAATATTCACACAGATAATTGGTTATTCTTCTTTGGTTTTACTTAAAATATAATAAATACACATTCCACCAAGGACCACAGTGCTGTTTTAAACGATCTCGAGAACTTGAAACCAATTAGAACGCAGGTGACATAAGCAAAAATAATTTATTACATTGATAGCATAAATACTTTATTAGCAAAGATGAATAGTCGCTAGCAGTGGAATCCAGCACACGCGCATCGTTTATTTGACACTCGTCAGCTGGATGTACCTGCATCTCAGAGTTGATTTTCTCTCAGGGAGTTGAACCTAGTACCGTTCGCTTCAAACACCGTCGCGTTATCCACTTAGCTACTGCGTCCTGATACAAGTAAACAACATAAAGTGAATATAAATACTTTTGATTAGAATTAACAGTTTGTGCTAGGTTCTAGTGTTAGATATGTGTAATTGATAGTTTTGAATAGGAACTAAATTAGAAAGTACTTCATAACCATATAGATGAATACTTAGGCATCATCGAAACCCTTTTATCTACGTCTAGAAGTTCATATATTCTGTTAAAGTTTTATCTGTTTATTATTTTTTGCATGAAAAATTGATCATTTACTCATCGTCATTTTAAAAACCCCTCAACTTCAACCTTATGATTTATTCGTTCTTTATTTACCAATTTTATGTATCGTAGTCGGTAGATATTGTTAGGTCACCCTTGTTTCCCACTTCACTCTTATCGAGATACAAGCTGTCTATCATTGAGCTTTTGATTTCGTACGAAAATGTAAAAGCCACTATCATGGATTTGATTGACTCATCAATATAGTTTACTTTTTCAAAAGTTTCATCAGTAAGATGCGTATAGATACTATGTTGAAGGATCAATTAAAAAAGCCTATATACTAACCAAACTCAATCATTTTAGTGTTATAAATCAATTGTGGAATGTAAAAAGGCAAACAATATAACAATATTATTCAATAATTGATTAATTTCTATCCAAACACTATGTTCAACTAATGTTGTGAAATCGAAACATTTTTTTGATTATTTATTAATTAAAATAGATTTTTCCATCGAATACTCCGGGTTCACGACTTGATATTATATCTCGTCGAATAATGTGGCAATTTCATGGTAATTATGCTCATGGAACAGGACATGGTGTTGGTGCATTTCTCAATGTACATGAAGGTCCTATTGGGTTATCTGGTAGTCGAATGAACGCATACTCTCGTTTGGGTATAATAGAACCAGGCTTACAAGAGAATATGGTAATGAAAAAATGTGTTCCTTCCTTTTTTTATTAGTTTTCAACATTTTTGTTGTTGACATTTTCATTTGACAGTTTAATGTCAGTATTCTACTACTTTTCGTTTCCTTTTAAGTAATGATTACAGTGATTTGATTTATAAACAGTTTTGGAAAAGTGTTAGAAGTTTGTATTAATCGGGGAATCATTTAAAAATACAAATCTGATTAAACCACTTAATCTGCATTCATTTTAGTTAATTGAAAGTAGTTGACTGGGAACCTTGGACATGAGTCAATAGACAACCTTTGAGCGACGTTAAAGTGATCTTGAGAAAAGTTATCTGATTTCTAGTACCAACAGAGGGTTATAAATTAATGTGAGGAATTAGGATTAGGATTTTGAGTTATAAGTTAGGGTTTTAATCACGAAATAATATCAGCTTTAATGTCAAAATCCTGTTTAACTTTACGGATAAATAAATTTCGTATCAAAATCTAAGACTAACTAATTCTAATATCATTCGTTCATTTATAAATTATAGTCTGGCCGCACGCCTTGAGGTATGAGATCTGGATCAAATATGATTTCCTGTCAGTCATTTCTAACCACCTAACAAATTTATATATTGCGCACGATGTTATTGAGTCATTTATACTAGTGGTTACATTACAATGTTATCATATATATATATATATATATAATGTTTAGTATTTACTCCGAGATTGATTTCCCTCATTTTCTAATAAGTAGCTATAAGCCATTACACTTTAAATTTTCTGTTAGGTAAATAATTTATCCATGGAACAGAATGCTTTGGTGGCTCTATACCATGAGTATATAGGTGTCGCTTTCGACCCTACACCTAAATGGATTCAGTTTTGTGTAAAAATTCCCGTGAGATTATTGGTTAGGTGTCTCAAAATCAGACAAAACAGTTTTCCGAATCTTCTTTGTTTTGTTAAAAAATTCTTTAGTTGATGCTAATTCATAGTAAAAACCTTGCAGTTTATTTGAATACTTAATGTATTTTTTAGTTACTACCTTATTTTAATGGTTTTTTTATGTGCTATTAACGACTTAAATTCTATCCTACGACAGCGCACAAATTATTACAACCTGCAATCGGAAGAATAAAATCAATTTTTCGCTGTAACAGTCCATACTTTGCTTATAGATATTTAAGAAGTAAGAAGACAATTCAGTGAAGAGAACTGTCTTTTAGACGATTTAATTAATTTGTATTTTCTTCACTGAATTGCCTTCTGTCTTCTTTAATGAAACAATGGGTCTCTTTCGTTATTGATATTTCATTGTTTGCTAGGATATGAGACTCTGTGGCTAGCTATCTTATTTGTTATTGACGAATTCAGCTTGGATGTTGTAAACTGACAAGTGAGGGATTTTTCTTACCTGAGCTGATTGATACTTATCACCGGGTAAGTGATAGTGAGGTTAGACGCAGGGTACTAGGGAATGATGGTAAATCAGTTGATGAGGTTATGAATCTTCATCGACTGAGATGGTTGGGCCACGTGTTGTGTATGCCTGAACACCGATTACCACGACGCGCAATGCTAACTAGTGCAGGGGATAATTGGAAGAAAGTTAGGGGCGGCCAAACCAAAACGTGGCATCAGTGCTTGAAGTCACTAACTTCTGGTCTGAGCCATGTTGGGAGATTCAGACTGCCTGGTTGGGGTCCGCGTGACTATCGTAACCAATGGTTGGAGACTCTTGGTGACATGGCTCAGAATCGATCACAATGGCGTCGGTGTATACACTCTCTGTCTTCCTTAAATTAAGAGATTAAAATCGCTTCATATCTGTCTAGGAACTAATTCTTTCTTCCTTTACTATCTCCTTATACACAATCTTTCTTCTATATATTACCACCACTGAATTAACTACTCCTATGAATCCGGTGTTCATCTTGTTGTGCTAATGCGGTATGGCAACTTGGGCCGATGCATATACGTGCCTGGTCCTACGTTGCAGCTGACTGACTGACTGACAAGTATAAAATGTCTACCTGTCCTTAGATTTTAATGAGTAACGTTCAATTATATTTTGATGTTCGATGTTCATTAGTTACCAGTGATAGAAAAAACTCCCTAGAGTTTCATCAGTAGATTATTTCTGATGAATTTTGATTATCATCTACAAGTTGATTCTCAAACTTTTTAGTTCTTCTAATTAAATTTAAAAGATTTTTTTACCTTGGATTAACATTTTGATACTGACATTTATTTAATTAATATGTAAATCTCATAAACATTACTATTGAACTTTCTAGGGATTCTCACTTCAAACTATACATTATCGTATTTGATAGGTTCCGTTGAAAATAAAGATTTACTTTTTCACTTTCTTCTCAAATACAGGTTGTTACCATTGAACCCGGTTACTATTGGAGTGATCACTTTGGAATACGTTTAGAAAATGTAGTATTTGTTGTACCTGTTGAAACGAAAAATTTTTACAGTAGTCACAGTAATAGTTATACAGCTGAAACCTCCACTGTTCACCGATCTTTTCAATTTTCAACAGACATTAACAATACTAAATGGCTCAGTTTTGAACCAGTCACCTTAGTTCCATTTCAACGTAAATTTATCAACTCTGATATGTTAACTGTAGATGAATTGAATTGGTTAGATAATTATCATAAAACAATTCGTCAAATTTTATGCAGTCGTATTTACCAAGAAGTGAATATTCAGTTGTCAATTAACGATGGAATTGATGATCAGGAAATCATGTTATCAAATATGTCAATGTTATCTTCTAGTCGCCAACGTTGTTTACAATGGATATTGAACCAAACAGAATCATTTTTGTAATCTTATGAATTATTTAGGTACATGATTTAAACTCCTCAAGTCTTTACTGTATTATTGGTGAAATTTTTGCTATAAAAATATTATACTCACTTTTATATTCGTAATAATTAAATGTTCTAAATGGTGGTGCAAATGTGAAACGATGTGATCTGTGTATTTACATTGTCTAAGCTGTTGTTTTGCAAATATCTACCGTGTTGAACATTCGCTTTTTGTTTCATAATGGCACTCGAAGCATAATATAACACCGAAACGTTTGTGTATCAGGTTTAGCAAGTGGTGTAGAAAGTGATTGTTTGTGTAACAGATATTCATTTTATTGATTAGATTTACAATGTCAGCTGAAATAGTTGTGTTAATTAGTTATCACAAAGGTAAGTTTCTAATTATTTTTATGGAAACATTCTTTTTTGAATCTCCTCAACTAAAATGTAAATTAACAGCAATTTGATGAACTATTTTATTATCAGTATAGAGTTGTGGAGATTATTGAGTTTTTGATTGAGATCATGAATCGACTGATGTTAGACTACCATTTAAAACCTGGAAGCACTGAACAGCCGTTTTGTCCTATTGTAGGACTGCTCAGCAGTGAGCATCTACAATTGTCATTATGATTGTTGGCTTCCATTGCAATCAAAAATAAAAATTGGATTTTATAATTGAATTTGATCGTTGAATTCATGAGTCGATCAAATCTAGACTACTATGAAAATCCTGGAAGCTCTGGACGGCTGATTCGTTCTAGTATGAGATTCATCAGCAGTGCGTATCCATTATCCCGCACTAAGTATACGAACCTACTACCTTGGGTTTCGCGATCGAACACTTGACTACTGAGTCGGCGTGCAGAGTCGTGGATGTTCACTACTGAGGAATCCCATACTAAGACGAAACGGCCATCTCGTGCTTCCACGTTTTCCATGGTGGTCTAGCTTTAATCGACTCATGAATTCAACTATAAAATTACTACAATCTCCTCAATACCACTAATTTGATGATATGTAATTATTAAGAATATTGATAATCAATCTGAAGTGAACTGATTTATTAAAATTATTGAAACAGTTAGATGCCTTACGATTATTCGGAATACTTGCTTTATTGAAAAACTTAAAGAAACATAGTCTTCAACATCCGTACGTTATATTTAAGCCAACGAATAAGAATCAATAAATGATGTCATTACCAGCTCTGGTACATTTCAAAATCGTTTCACGATAACAACTCTACTTATGATAAATCTAGTCATGTTTGATATGTTAATTTGAATAACAAGATTGAACCTTTCAGTGCACTTTGACCAGGTTATCTATAGATTCCACGCCCATCATGATGCCTAAATTTACTTGGTTTACATTCTATGTAGAGCTAAGCTTATAAACTGATAGCGAATCATGCACAGGGGAAGGGCAACTATTCGCCGATCTCTGACTTTCAAAATGGTCATTCAAATTACACCAGTCCGTTAATGAACAATTTTCTACTAATTACTTATGTGAAATCTTATAACGTTTAAAGTTGATTTAAACTAGCGATTTATTTTACATGGATTAATTTCTAATAAACGTCATGATCAATGAAAACCAGTTAATGATATAAACGTATATTTGCTAATCATGAAGAAATCTATTTACATACTTACGCCTGTTACTCCTCGTGGAGGAGCATAGGCTACCCACAACACTACATCCAACCGTGTCCTTTTCCAATTCTTTCCAATTGCTATCCATCCTTTTTATATCTACTTCCACTTCCCGGTTTAGTGTGTTTTTTGGTCTTCCTCCTTTCCGCTTCACTTTAAGATTCCAATGCATTGCTTGCCTCGTAATGCAATTTGGTGATTTCCGTAATGTATGTTCTATCCAGTTCCAACATTTCTTATTAATTTGCTACTCAGAAGGGGAAGCTGGTTTGTTCTATTCAACAGAAGGCTGTTGCTGATGATCCGAGTAACAGATACTCAGTGTCTTACGTAGACAATTGTTTATAAATAGTTGTACCTTTTTGACGATGGTTTTGGTAGCCCTTAGTTTCCCTAAATTTGACCCTATTCAGGTCGCAAAATCTGTTGTTATTCACATATACATGTCACTAAGCCTCAGAATACCAATCTCAGCCTTTGCAATATGAACCATTTATTTCAAACATACTCGGTTTATATACCAATCAAACAGACCACAACGTACAAGACTTGGCCAAAAGTAGCAGTGAGGGAGGGAGGTAGTGATTAGTAGACAGGGCACTATTCAAGAATGGTAAATCGTATAATAATTGTTCATAGATCAGCTTACCATAAGAACATGAATGTGTATAGTTTAGATATTTAACAATTATACGATAAAACATACGCATAGTATTGATCCTCAAATGGATCCCAAAAATTTTCATTCACTATACTTATCGGGACCTAACACATCTCTGTTGCACAAATACTAAATCACACGAAATCGCATGACAATTAATCCAACGATACATAATGTAACCAATATGTTAAGTACATATCAGGAATGAGTCATAAGGTAGAAAAAAAATCTACAACGGTAACTACCTGATAGACTTCTAGTCATTGTTACAAATAAATCTCAGTTCATATTAACCCTAGGATATACCTGTAACATCAGTCGTTTGAGAGGTCCCTTCAAAGCCCTACGAATATATTGTACCACACAAACTAAATTAGATTTCCAATAAGACAGAGTATAATTCGTTAGTATTGTGGTGTGTGTTACTTATATTGACAGATGTAAGCAGCATCTAACATAACACCATTCAAAAGTGCATTAGTTTGAACTGAAGACAATAGAATTAGAGGAATCATGAAGGATGGAAACGACAGCTGAGAGTTGTGAAAATGATGTATTTAACATATAATCTTTACAATTTACTAAACCATGGTGTAATTGTGCATTAAAAAATAAATTCGTCCTTACTACCCAAATGTTCGTTCACTACAGTACGCCTTTTTCATATACACATATTTTCAACAACTAAAATGCTTTTTACAAAATACAGTTGCCTTAGGCTCTACAGATATTTTACAAATTGAGGCTAAGTTACGACGGACAATGAAAGTTAAATTTGACAATAACTTATATGATACATAGAGAACGGGAAATAAGATAAACAGAAACAATACTTGAAAGGAATTACAAATACCAAACGTCGAAAACACTAATTTCATTGGAAAATAGCAAGGGAGGAGAGGTGGTAATGTTGTCAATAACTAGACGTCTACCAATCTACTTGAATTTTCAAGTGCATTCTGATGCAGTATAATAAAACACGAGACATTGGATTACTGGTCAATACGATCTTCCCAAACAAAAATTTAGTTCGCTCCATTATTTATGTTTAAAAAGATATTTTTCACTGATTATGTATTTTTTCGATGAAATTTAGTGGTTCTTATTTCATATTCATCTTATGATATTATCTCCTGAAATTTTCAAATTTCCCATATGAATAGCTAACAAAAAATGTTTTATTTTCTAAAGTGATCCGTTCGTAGTGGTTCACCTCTCTCCACACCGCAGATGTGTTACAAAATGCCAAAAAACAACGAGAGAATTATTTCCCATGACGTCGATAGAAAAGTATTTAGAAATTTTTATTGTTAAGACATTTTAGCTTTTCAATCTGGAATCCAGCTACACATAGGTGATCGGGGTATCTAACAGATTCTAATCCAAGTCATTGTTTTCATTTTCAATGTACATTATCATTACAGCCTGACTGTTTGGAAAGCACTACTTTAATAAAGCTGGCTTCAAGAATCAACTTTGATGATAATGAAAAATCAACAAATTTAGTGCAGCATTTTATCTAGTAGCCTAACAAATTTTCGTGGAGTATCTAGATAAAAAGAACGACAAATATTAGGTCCATAGTGCGGCTTGGATAGTATGAAAATCTGAGTTACAACTCATGAGTTTGTTTGGTTATTGAAACAAATCAATTGAAGTATATGGAAAGGTAAACAATGACTAACGTAAAACACGATACAATGGGGGTACGACGGAACTATGGCTCAGAAAACAACAAAATATATGCTTGCCTTGGTCATATTATTTTTATTGTTGACTCAAAACGTCGAAATATTACAGACGGACTTTTAATGAACTAGATGCTAACGTGTACGTGAACATTGCGAAAAGCCGAATATACTAAGTCGTCACTATGTAGTACTTATGTCATTTTTGTTTGGTTTTGATTGCTGCTGAATTTTTTGATCAACTTGCAATGTGAGCAGTAGACTAAATTGCTCAGTGTTGCTATTAACAAAGTCGAGTGAGAAGAAAAACCCGGAGCTATGTTTCTTGCTGATCGGTATTATTCAGTAAATCCGCAAACATAATGATAGAATTAAGCTACTAATGGGATTTAATTCTAATATATTGAGTAACGGTATTGCGACTTGATAGACAGAAATTTACCAGTAATAAATTATGTTGATTACTTCCCAGTAACCAAAGTGTGTAGTTATCTTAAATTAATTTCTTCTGTTTAAAACTACAATAGCCAAAATGAGGATGGGAAAGTTATAAACTGCTATGTACATAAATAAGTACAATTCTTCATATCATTATTTATTAAATAAATACCATACAAATACTTCGGAATTATCACAAGAGCGTAAGATCACACCATGTAACTAGTGTTCAATACATAAGTGATCATTTCCCAAGTGATTGTAAATATGAATACTTTTCATCATAGCACTCAATTTGTAAACATGTGATGTGTTGGGTTGGTAGGCTATATTCTACGTATAAAAAATAGGGTCGCAAATAAACCAATAAAATGATTTGCATGAATAGTTCTATACTAAAATTAATTATCGACTACAAGCGTACCTATAATCGTTTACGATATAGTATCATATGTCTAGTATTTACAACAAAATAACACAGTTCGATACAATGTTGAACCAACAGATCAACTGAGCAACAGCTAGTAAGGTAAATGAAAATGTTACTTCGGAATCTGAATTATTGTAATTTTTGGTCATTTGTAATAATATAAACCAGATAATTTAAATGAGAGATAATTATTATCTAAGTGACAACAAAAAATTCAGCAATGTTCAATATCCCTGAGAGGATCACAGACGAAAAATTAAAGTAAATGATCAGAAAACAAGAGCCATTTGTTCTTTTAGGTGAAAGAAATTAAAACAGAAGAGGCAGAATTTGCATCAAGGAGCGTGCAAAAAACACTAAACAAAACTTCTTGATTCGCTAAGAGATAAATCAAAGCACTCTTGTGCTTTATCGGCCAGCACACAACCAATAGCCAGAGAGGCTGTTGCGGCTGGCGATGGTGCATTACGTACATGCATAATTCTTTTACCAATCTTGCCATCACCAAAATGAATTACAAAATCATCCACTAACGTCCCATCTGAGTCAATCGCTTGAGCTCTTATTCCAGATGGGCCCCTGGCGACATCTTTAACGCTTAAGCTAGGTACATACATTTTAAGCCGCTTGACCTGGCGATTAATAAATAAACCATCAATTATTTCATTCACACCAAAACGTAAATAACGGAAAATGAGTTTCCGGAGTCCAGGGTTAGATGCGAGATCAAAGAAGTCTTTGAAGTTAAAATCGAAGCGACCATAACCTTCCCGACTAAATGATAGGATAGCATTTGGTCCAAGCAAAACGGATCCATCCAAACGTGGAGTGAAGTGGACACCCAAGAACGGGAAACGGGGATCAGGAACAGGATATATATTTCCATTTATTAAAGAGGAATTTTTAGATTTCAAAACTAAATAATCACCCCGAAATGGTATGATGACAGGATTTGGAGAGCAGCCAGACATCTTAGCAACACGGTCAGACTGTAAACCTGTACAAGTAATCACATACTTGCATGTGATCTGTGAAATATGAGCTGAGTTGTTTGATCCACTATTAACGTTCTTGATCACAACAGGGTAATCCACATTTTCACTCGTTTCAGAGATTTCGCCTACCTTAAATGACTTATAAATAGTCCCACCAGACTCAACAAAATTTTTGGCATATGATAAAGTTACTGTTCTCCAATCGACTATACCTGTTTCAGGGGAATGAATTGCTTTTAAACCAACACAGTTAGGTTCGATTTCTGTTATCTTGTCACCTGAAATGTAAGAAACATTGGGCACACCGTTTTGCTGGGCAAAACTATACAGCTTTTCTAGACGCGGAAGCTCAAGTTCATTAACTGCAACGATTAGTTTCCCACATTTCTTGTAAGGCACATTGTTTGCTTCAAAATATTCATACGACTTCTTCATACCTTCAACGCATAGCTTAGCTTTTAGAGAGCCAGGAGTGTAGTAAATACCTGCATGAATAACTCCACTGTTATGGCCAGATTGATGTATCCCCAATTCTTCTTCTTTTTCCAGAAGGGCAAAACGAAATTTTGGAAACCGAAGTGTTAGTTCACGAGCCGTTGCTAAACCCACAATTCCACCTCCAACAACGGCTATGTCGAAAGTATGTGCTTTGGTAGAGTTCCGAAAGGCTTGGGACATCAAAACATGGTTTAAACTTTTAAATTTGGTGAACCACATGTTAACTTGATAAAAAGTGAAATTTTAACGTTCAGTCTTTGATAGATTTGCGTCTAACCAGAAAGTACGTCGTGTGCTAAGGAATTATGGAGAGCAATATATCCAAGGGAATCTGGAACAGAAAACAATGGGAAAAGATACCCGAAAACTCAGTAAATACATAGAATACACTTGGGTTTAATAATATTTGTCAACAATTGGTAATAGCAAAACGTCTGGCAAAAACACTCTGTCAATCGAAACTAGGAGTAGACTGAATAAAGTTCATAGTAGAATTTTAATTTAGGGACGAGCTTAAGATAACCGCAGCGAGTTCTCAACGTTTTTATTAAATTATAAAATGGCTTTTATAAATGAACAGTATACGGGAATGTCAGCAACAATATTGCAAACTGAGCCGAAGTCATGTAATTAGTAAATCAATTGACGCCTTCATGTTACTTTTTGAAAATGAAGAGAACGACATACCCGTGCTAATGGATATAGATTGTTCATCTCGAACCCGTACACTGACCCAAGCAGTTTTATAATGGTACCTATACTAATCCTAGTTAGGGTTGGGACTTTAATTCACGGACCGAAACCAACTACAATATAAGTTGCTTTATAGACATATGGGCGGATGGATTCTACACAAAAATACGTGGGCGCCAGAAGTAAAATATGTAAGCTAACTAATCAGATTCCTATGAAAAATTTATTCCTGATTATACTTGAAGGTCCTTATGAAAACCCTAAAGTTCATACACAAATCTTCATTATCACGTTACGAAAGTACTACTTTTTCATCGTGAATTATTGGCCATTCAGTAGTAAGCTGAACGGACTGGTTAGTAAGTACTAGCTCATCAACTGAAGCAGCATGGCCATATTTCAAGGTACCCTTAACTTCATTACGCCCATTTCGCACCATGCTTAGTACCACGGAGACTAAATAACTACTCACTATGGGTAACTAAACAGGTCAAGAAAATTCCTAGACGTCGGAAAAGGCATAGAAGTATGTTTATTTCTGCAGGCTCTGAACAATACAGATTCACTTACTGTGAGATTACGAACCCTTGTAAAGCGTCGATAAAACTACACATTTATATAAGAAACAATTGGTTAGGGATTGTGAAATGTTGTAATTGTACATAAACGGACGACCTCACAGAAGTGATGAGATCCTACTGCTTGTGGTTCGAGAAATCCGTTCAATATGGCACGAAATGATACTACAAAAGCTGAAGGTTTCCAAGAATATTTTAGTGTTTCTCCTTCCGAAAGTGGTGAAAGACCAAGAATAAGTTATAATGGAAGCCTATCGATGGAGACTGTTGTTATTGAGAGAGGAATTATCCTGCGATTAACTTAACATCTCAAACCAGATAATTCCAGTGGTTATACGACATTCATCATAGGATAATGGAAGCTCTGGAATATGTAAATGCTGAACCTCTGGCGATACTGTTTAATATGTCTTTGCAGCATCACAAACTTTCAGGAGATCGGAAGAACGTAATAATTAGTTCGGCTCATAAAGCGATAATAGACTTAGTAACTATCGACCCGTTATAAATAAATAATCAACCCAATGCTCAATTTATTCGAAATTATCAAATCAAACCTTGGTAATGATACCTATATCGACCCGTTAGTCTATACAGTGTAGCTGTCAGACTAATGAAACAGATTACTCGGATGACTTCATGGGAATGACTTGCCAATTACAGCGAAGTTATCTGTACTACAAATTGCAGACATCAGGATTTGTAGACCGATAGGCAGAATGTAAGAATAATCTTACAGAATGACCTAAATCCACATGTTGAATGTATAGATGAGTGACCATTAGAAGTTAGCTTTAACAAAAGTGATGATACAAATAAATAACTGCGACGATTCATATCACTACACAATAAATGAAATTTACCTAATGATCTAGCGGTCATAACGAGCAACGACATTAAAATCACGAGTAACTGAAGAGCCACCGTATTCAAAGGCTTCAGGGTCTTGTATGGTATCATTATTATTATTATTACTTGAACGGAATGTTTGGAACATTATACCACACCTCGAGGACCGCCTTTGGAATACAAGATTCAAGAAGCAAGTGCTTGATTCAAGTATGAGGCGAATATGCTAGAATACGTTCAACGGCTAGGAATCAAAATGATAATAGTTCTCTCTGACTCATCTTAGGAAGTCGGACTGAGAAACCTCAACCTACTTTCATTATCTTACAGCAGTTTACGTAGTGATCTTATACTGGCTTACCGTATGCTAATCGATTATCTTGGTATTAATTACTTATCTTTCCTTCCACGTAGAATTGATCATCTGAGAATAGATTTCGAAGATCGAGATTGATTCATCTACGTCTGGAGTACCGTTTCTTGCATCAAGTAGTGAATTGCAGGAATTCTCTACCTGAACATACAATATCAGCACCCGTTCGTACATTTAAATAGATTGGATCTTCACGGTACGACAAATTGCAAGGACTAAAGTAGTTTGAACTCCTATTCTTAATACGGAAGGCTGCGAATTATTTCACAGACAAATATATGTTCAAGTAAACAATTGTCATTTATTTCCATAACTAGTCAATCAAATAGTTGCTTAAGCTCCCACCACGTTAATCTGGTCTGATGGGTCTACAGACTATTTCTATTGATATGTCCTGCCAATTGAAGGATATCATTATACTATTATATCAGCGTGACTCAAAAAATCTATTCTTTTCGCTAAGACACACTATATTGGATGGTATGTTTGTGCGTTCCACTTAGTAACTATAACTTCTCTGATTATTAAACCAATCGATTGTTATTTTTACGTTTAAAAACAGATGAAGTTTAGCGCCAAATTGTCCTTGATCTGACTATAGCTTTCACATACTTTGAAGTCGCCCGTATTGTGTTAACAGCTCTAGCACAACAACTGTAGGGCAAATTAAATCCTACAACAATGTTGTTTTCTCACTGAAAAGAAAGCAGGAAGGAGGAATGCGAGAACTGTGAGTGAACTTTTAAATAAGAGAGGAAACTGAGCAGACGACTGAGTAGAGACAAATAATACACTTATATATAATAAAAGAAGCAGTCGAAAGCAATGAGAAGTAATGAGCGTAAGGTTCAAGAAATCTGATATTCGGAAGTAGAAATTAGAACTGCAAACAATGTTAAGTATATAATCGCTGGGAAACCGTAGCGCGACATTTCAAAGTCGTTACGTATTATTGACTTCTTAGTTTACATTTCGGACTTTTGTCTTCTAAACCCCAATGCATACCTATAACAACTTTACTGTGTGTTTGAGTCACACGGGCGTGATTGTTAATCAGCAACGCTAAGGGCTCCTATAAAAGTGCAACAAAATATCTCCGGTAGTTCTCAACAGCTCGAATTTCTCTCACGACGTCGTACTCCCACGGAGACGAGATATAGCGCTTTTGGTTGCGAACTGCTAGCAGCATACTGCGCCATCAAACACTTCCGGCACGCAGTAGAAGGACGCCAATTCATTATATTCACCGACCACAAGCCCTTAACGTATGCCCTGCATACCAAGTCTGACCGCTACTCACCACGAGAGTGCAGACATTTGGACTATATCTCTCAGTTCACGACAGACCTTCGTCACATTAAAGGCGAGTCGAACTATGTTGCCGATGCTCTATCACGTATCCAGACGAATGCAGTTACCTTACCGGTGCTCGATCTTCCTGCTATGGCCGCCGCGCAAGCAAACGATCCTGTCTGTACAGAAATACCACAATCTTCGTCCCTTCAGTGCCAGGAATACCCCCAGCTACTAGCTCAGGTACTATCCTATGTGATATTTCTACCGGTCTTCCTCGGCCTATCGTACCCTCCGCTTATCGCCTTCTCGATTTCGATGCCCTTCATGGATTGTCTCATCCAGGTATCACAGCCACATTACGTCTCATCGCTGCACGATACGTCTGGCCGTCCATGAATAAAGATGTTCGTATGTGGATAAAGTAATGCTTACAGTGTCAACGATCAAAAGTGCACAGGCACGTAGCTGCCCCCATTGGCACGTTCGCTACGCCTGATGCTCGCTTTGATCACGTTCATATAGACATTGTAGGATCATTGCCACCATCGCATGGATATGATCACATACTCACGTGCATCGACTGTTTTACAAGATGGCCCGAAGCTATTTCCATCACGTCTATCACAGCGGAGACAGTTGCTCACCGCTTCGTAGAACGATGGATAGCATTGTACGGTTGTCCCTCGACTGTCACAACTGACCGAGGACAACAATTTGAGTCCGCAATATTCTCCTCACTGACCCGGCTGCTTGGTACGGAACGCATACGCACTACCGCCTACCATCCAGCATCGAATGGTTTAGTCGAACGGTTTCATCGCCAAATTAAAAGTGCTCTCCGAGCACACGAAAACGACAATTGGTACGAAACCTTACCGCTCGTTCTCTTAGGCATCAGAACGAGTTTGAAGGCAGATATTCAATGTTCCGCCGCTGAACTTGTATACGGCACGACATTGCGTCTGCCTGGGGAATTCTTTACACCACGGAGCAGTAATGATTTCGGTAAATCAGACTACGTCCATCGACTGTCTGCATTTATGCGAACGCTGTCTCCGGTGTCAACTCGAATACAACATCGACAGGTCGCTCTGCCTCGAGAGTTATCTACCTGTTCACATGTTTTCATACGAGTAGATTCGGTACGCAAACCTCTACAACAGCCTTACGAAGGCCCTTTTCACGTGATCTCTCGTCACGAAAAGACCTTCAAGGTTGATCGACACGGCCGCGTCGAGATCGTCAGCATTGATCGTCTCAAACCAACACACGTCGATGACAGTGCCCTACCCGATAACTTGAGACTCAATGCTAGACCTATCAAACCTTCTAGCGGGATCTCTACGTCTACCTCGGATCCCACGCTAGATACATCAGAGACCTCGTTCTCACGTCCCGGTCAACAGCACGCGTCATCTGCACCATCTACGGACGAGACTTCCGTCTCACGTCCAGATCGGCAGACCACGCCGCCCTTGACCTCGGATGAGATCGCAGGCTCACGAAGTACGAACGAGACTACCGTCTCACGTTCCGGTCGCCGAGTACGATTACCCGTACGCTTTCGCGACTAACCGCACAGTCAACGTTGGATACGGTGTAGGATTATTCCTATACTACATGCATGCGACACTTTTCTTTTTTTGATTTTTTTTCTGTATCCTGAGCCCACGCCTCCGAACATCGTCCGTTTGATAACGTCGACTTCAGTCAACTTTAGCGAAAGCTGGTTTGGCCACCCATGCTCTAGTCAACGCACTCAGTCGATTATCTGGTCTCGAATTCGCCTGGCATACGCTTGGTCGTTATGGTTGCGTCCGGTTTCTTGGCTCAACGTGGTTTCGTCCTACGTCTGCAGCGTTTTCTGCTTCACAACTCTACGAACGCAATCATCAGATTCTGGATACAAACCACTCTGGTGTGGTATGCTAACTCGACCAACAAATACAGCACACTTGTCCTGGGACCGTTCTGCGCAAAAGACCTTCGTTGGCAACTCGAGGATCAACGATCACTTCCTGTTCCGCCAATTTCCTCCGTCCTACAACCGCAATTCTGCCGATCAGTCCCACGAATCAAACCGCTAACTATCGAAAGTGCAAACCCTTTCTAGCGAAGGGCTCCTGTAGTGACCTACTTTTGTCAACAGAACGCGATTGGTTCGATGAAAACAATTATGATTATAACCAATTGTACCAGTGACTGTTTTATTGTGCTCGTTTGTTTAACTGTGCTAATGACAGCCATTATACTTACTCTCCCGTTGACTTTGAACTTGTACGAATTCGGTTACGCTCAGTAACCACGCTTGTACTCCTTTGGCACGATCTCGGTATTCTTTCGATACCACGAGATTGCCAACAAATATATTACAACTACCATTATCATCTGCCTTCTGATTTTTGGCCTACCGGAATCTTATTGGTCTATTGGCACGTAGTCTGGTAGCGGCGTTCATAGTCAAGCTCAACTCGACACCACGCTACATTTGGTGGGCCAAATGTTGGAACACGCCTCAACCTCGGTCAAATCTTCCAAAGAAGGCAATTCGGTTAGTCTATTGTTTTATCTATCCACATCTGTCGTATACTTTCATATTAATTTTTAATATATAATACATTTGACATGATAAATAACGATAAGAATAGTATTAATATAATAGACTCCGATGTACGCGTACCGAATCATCGGCACTTTTTATTCGCGTGACGATAAATTCCACGCTTTATTCGAGAAATTCCCCAGAATAACTAAACCACTCGAGGAGATTTCATCGGTGACCAATCGTGTGGTACACCACATAGTCACCCGCTGACCACCAGTCACGGCAAGACCATGCCGACTGGCACCGGACAAATTAGCTTTCGCTAAACTTGAGTTTGAGAATTTACTATCTACTGGTATTATCCGTCCTTCTCACAGTCCTTGGGCCTCCCCTTTACACATGGTGCGCAGAAAGGATCGTTTGCTTGCGCGGCGGCCATTGCAGGAAGATCGAGCACCGGTAAGGTAACTGCATTCGTCTGGATACGTGATAGAGCATCGGCAACATAGTTCGACTCGCCTTTAATGTGACGAAGGTCTGTCGTGAACTGAGAGATATAGTCCAAATGTCTGCACTCTCGTGGTGAGTAGCGGTCAGACTTGGTATGCAGGGCATACGTTAAGGGCTTGTGGTCGGTGAATATAATGAATTGGCGTCCTTCTACTGCGTGCCGGAAGTGTTTGATGGCGCAGTATGCTGCTAGCAGTTCGCAACCAAAAGCGCTATATCTCGTCTCCGTGGGAGTACGACGTCGTGAGAGAAATTCGAGCTGTTGAGAACTACCGGAGATATTTTGTTGCATAACGGCTCCTATAGCGAAATCTGATGCATCAACCGCTATACTAAGCGTGGCTGATGGGTCAGGGTGAGCGAGAAGTGTAACTTCAGCGAGAGCCATTTTGATCTCTGAGAATGCAGTACGTGCGGTATCGTTCAATTCTAATTTGCGTGGATTACCGCGTAGTAAATCGGTTAATGGTCGTAACCGTTCTGCCGCTTGAGGGATGAAACGTCGGTAGAAGTTAACCAAACCGAGATAGGCCTTCAGTTCCTTGAGTGAGGACGGTACGTTGTACTCCTTGATTGCTCGAACTTTGTACTCGCAGGGCAGAATTCCCACTTGTCTGATGATGTGACCCAGAAATATTATTTCTGGTTTACCCAATTCACATTTCTCTGGGTTGACTACTTTTCCATTATCCGAAAGACGTTGGAATAATAGCGTAAGGTGTTGATAATGTTCATCTACGCTTGATGATGCGATCAGCAGGTCATCAATATAGACGTGAACAAAATCCAAGTCTCGTACTATGCTATCGATAAACCTTTGGAAAGTTTGAGCAGCATTCCGTAATCCAAATGGCATTCGTAGGAACTCAGACAGACCGAAAGGAATCGTGATAGCAGTTTTTTCGATGTCTTCAAGAGCGACAGGGATCTGGTGATATGCTCGTACCAGATCGATTTTAGAAAAGATAGTCGTGCCCTTGAGCGATGCCATGATGTCGTGTATGTGGTATTTATCAAAGCGCGTAACTACGTTTAATGTCCGGTAGTCGCCGCATGGTCTCCAACTAACCCCATCCTTTTTGCGCACCATGTGTAAAGGAGAGGCCCAAGGACTGTGAGAAGGACGGATAATACCAGTAGATAGTAAATTCTCAAACTCAAGTTTAGCGAAAGCTAATTTGTCCGGTGCCAGTCGGCATGGTCTTGCCGTGACTGGTGGTCAGCGGGTGACTATGTGGTGTACCACACGATTGGTCACCGATGAAATCTCCTCGAGTGGTTTAGTTATTCTGGGGAATTTCTCGAATAAAGCGTGGAATTTATCGTCACGCGAATAAAAAGTGCCGATGATTCGGTACGCGTACATCGGAGTCTATTATATTAATACTATTCTTATCGTTATTTATCATGTCAAATGTATTATATATTAAAAATTAATATGAAAGTATACGACAGATGTGGATAGATAAAACAATAGACTAACCGAATTGCCTTCTTTGGAAGATTTGACCGAGGTTGAGGCGTGTTCCAACATTTGGCCCACCAAATGTAGCGTGGTGTCGAGTTGAGCTTGACTATGAACGCCGCTACCAGACTACGT